GGTGAAGGGGGGAGCCTAGTAAACATAATGTTCTTCATGTAATTGTAGATTAATGATACCAAAATTAAAAAATATATATATCTAAGATTTAAAAAAAAATTCCATCCACAAGAATCACAATTAAATGCTGAATTAATAGTTTAAAAAAAAATTACCATGCTGAAGTTCTTTATGTATGACCCAGGGATTTTTGCAAAGGAGGCTCATAGGTTTGTTTTGGTGATCTTGATGGGACACTAAATTCTAGATGAATGACAATATTTCTTAAAAGTGATGGTCTTCTAACTCACAACCTTAATTCAAATTACACTTGTTACCTACATCTTCAGCCTGGCATAGAAATACCTCTCTTCTATTCCAAAGACTTTAACAGTTCCTAAAATATGTAATTCTTTTCCATTTGCCTTTTTAAAGATCTTTGAACTTGATGGTTATCTTGACTTCTTTAATATTTTTAGGGCTATATAGACATTTAACTCTTACAGATATTTAAAAGGCTAATACTAAATATTAAAATGAATTTTGGATTTCCCACATGAATCAGCATAACGTGCAGTTTCAACTCAGAAGGTCAGTCTACTGAAAGAAAAAATTTGAAACATATTACTAATTATATATATTACTAATATTACTAATAATGGACTAATTTTCATGAATTAGTCACATATTTTTTAAATAAACCTTTCTTCCTCAAGAGTACTGTTATGAATGCAAGGTATGTTAATAACCTGTAGATGTAAATGTTATCAAGTTGTAAGTGACCCTAATTTATAGGACAATTCCTATTTTCTTTCAAGTTTCCATTTTTGCTCCTTCCTCTGTCTGCACTACCTTAGTTCAGTTCCTCACTGTTTCTTGCTTTGACAATTGCATTAAGCCTTTGCATTTGTCTCCCTGGCCCTATCTGTCCCTTCCTCCGTGCTGTCTCAGGTTTTCTTCTAGGTATGCAAATTGATTATCCTAACAATAATGCCTAGTATTTATTGAGCCCCAGCTGCAGGTCTGGCATTGTGCTAGGCAATTTACATACTTTATGGTCAGAAGAACACAGATTTAGGAGTGCTGGTTAGAGTCAGCCTGAATTCCAGTCTCTGTTCACTTCCTCCTTGTGCAATCCTACGGATTTTCTTTTAATTTCTGACTGTCTCACTTTCTGTATCTATACACATGGGTCACAGCAGCACTTACCACATAAGGCTATTGTGAAATAAAATACTGACTATAAAGTGTTTATCATAGTGCCTAGTAAATATCCAAATAATAGCTATTTTTGTTGAGATATAACTCATGCCATAAAACATGCCCTTTTAAAGTATACAATTCAGTGTTTTTAGTGTATTCACAAATTTGTGCAAACATCGCCACCCTTTAGTTCCAAAACATTTTCATTACAGCATAAAGAAACCCACTACCCATTAACTGTCACTCCCCATTCCCACATCTACCTAGCTCCTGGACAGCCACTCAACTACTCTATCTCTGTTGTCTGTGCATTCTGGACATTTCATATGAATGAAATCATCAAATAGATAGTCTTTTGTGACAAGCTTCTTTCACTTAGCTTGAGGCTTTTTGGTTCATCCAAGTTGGAGCATGTATCAATACTTCATACCTTTTTAATGGCTGAATAGTGTTCTGTCATGGTGGAGATCCCACAGTGCTTATCCACTTACCGGTTGATGGACATTTGCTTTTTTCTATTTTTTGGCTGTGATGAATAATGTCTCTATGACCATTTATGTACAAGTTTTTATGTGGACATATGTTTGCATTTGTTTTGGTTATATATCAAGGAGTAGAACTACTGGATTAGGTAACTTTTGAACAGCTTTATGGAAATGTAATTCACATACCATGCAATTTACCTAAAGTGTACAATTCAATGGCTTTTAGTACAGTCATAGATATGTACAGCTGTCACCAGTCAATTTTAGAACATTTTCATCACCTCAGAAGGAAACCCTGTACCCTTTAATTATCATGTCCCTTATCCCATCCCCCATCCCCAATCCCTTTCTTCCTAGCTCTTGGCAACCACATACCTACTCTCTGATTCTATAGATTTTCCTATTCCAGACTTCCATATAAATTGAATAATATAGTATGTGGTCTTTTGTGATTGGCTTCTTTCACTTAGCATAGTGTTTTCAACGTTCATCCACAGTGTAGCATATACCCGCACATCATTCCTTTTTGTGGCTGAATAGCATTCCACTGCGTGCATGTACCATGTTTTCCTACTGGTGGACATCTGGGTTGTTTCCATCTTTTTAGCTATTGTGGGTAATGTGCTGTAAACGTGTATACAAGCTGCTGTGGAGACATATGTTTTCATTTCTCTTGGATATATATCTAGGAGTGGAACTGTAGAGTCCTGCTGTAACTCTGTTTTATCAGTTGAGAAACTGCTAGACTGTTTTCCATAATGGCTGTACCATTTTACATTCCCACCAGCAGTATTTAAAGGTTCTGATTTCTTCACATCTTGGCTAACACTATTTTCATGTGTGCATGTAAGTGTTCATTGTAGCCATCCTAGTGAGTATAAAGTGGTATCTCATTGTGATTTTTTTGATTTGCATTTCCATAATGACTTACGATGTTAAACGTATCTTCATGTGCTTATTGCTGTTTGTCTTAATTTATTTCTTATTGTTATTAATCTTATTTATCTTAGCTGTTATCTTATTTAATCCTCTTAACAGACTTCCATAGAGCCTCTTAACAGTTAACTATCCTCATTTCACAGAAAGGCAACTGATGCTTAGAGTTAAGTAACTAAGTCACACAGCTAGTTATTGCTAGACTATTGTCACTCTTCTTAAAATCCGTCAGAAGTGTCCCAAACCTGCAACGGTGGAGGGGCTTCAGGATCTGGTGCTCACATACTTTTCTCTTTTCAGCTTCCACTGTCCCTTGTCAAGCCCTAAGTCTCTAGCTGTAGCAAACTTTCTATCACCCTTGAAGAGGCCACCGTATTTAATTCCTCCCTGTGTGTGCCTTTGGCCTTGTGTTCTCTGTCTACAATGCCCTTTGCCTTTTTTTCATGTATGAATTTTCACACATCCTTTGAGACCCATCTCAACTGTCACTGCCTTTTGGAAACTTTTCTGGACACTCTCAGGCACAGACATTTGCTTCCTTGGCTTTATAGTTCCCTTCTTCTAGTAGTATTTTCTTTACTGTGTTGATAACTTTTTTTAAAAACCTCTGTCTTCTTGTCTCTCTCTTTCTCTGATCCTCTCCCTCTTGATAGATGTTGAGGTGTTCCAGAGCACTGACCTTTGACATGTCATCATCTTTGTATCCCCAGGGCCAGGGATAGCCTGGCACAGATCAGGTACTCAAAAAAAATCCATCGAGTGAATACATTTCACTTTTCAGTTTGAATATCTGCCCTTCTCAGTGTCCGCCTTTGTATGTTAACATTCTGTAGGCCACAAGAAAATGTGTAGCAATCAAATTATAAAATGTTTACATTTTCTGTTCACTCAAAGCAGTATTATAAAGTGTGCATAATTAATAATGAGTGATTATTGTATTATTACTATAAAAAAAGCTAACAATCTAGTAAGGGCGTGTGGTAAGCCAGGCACTATTACAAGCACTTACTTAGATTATCTTCTCATTTACTTTGTCCCATAATTCTAGAAAGTAGAGGTATTACTACTATTCCCATTTTACAGGTGAAGAAACTGAGGCACTGGAGGTTAACCTCCCATGTTATCCAGATAACATGTGGCAGTCAGAATTTGCACCTAGGCAGTGTGATTCCAGAGCCAGAACTCCTGAGGACACTGACCTAATACTGCTGCTCACAGACTGCTCACCCTTCTGCTTAAATTTTGTGGCCAGTGATACACGATTATGTCTGCTGCACCCAGTTGCAGGAAAGGCAAACCACTTGAGTGTTTTAACTTGCTTACTGAAGGGAATTGCATGCTTACAAAGTCACTGTAAGGGCTGGGAGGACTGGGCTCCAGGCTGGGCCTTCAGAAATGATTCCCAGAACCAGACTGCTAATAGGCCCTCCAGGGGAGGGAATCGGGAGCCACCACCCTACTCCTTCCCACCCCACCCCACCCCCAGCACTGCTGAGCTCCCTCCAGATGATGTTGCTAGCTGCAGTTCAAGGGTCAAGAAATTGTGACCCTGAAACCACCCCTCAACACCCACCAACTAGTGAGAGCTGTCTCCACCAAACTAGTCTCTTGATGGCCAAGCAGCTCTGGACACTGGAAGCCTGTTGCAGAAAAACCCAGTGTTTCCACCACTTTGCTTGTCAACATTAACAGTCCGAACTGAAGATAGATGGTTCCCGCCTCATTTCTGCCTTCCAAATCTCACAGAGCATCTGATGAATGGACCCCATTTCACATGGGGAAACTTAACTGTAAGGAGTCTGGGAAATGTATTTTAATTTTCCAGAGGACAGTTAGAAAGGATGCTAAGGGTTAACACACTATAATCTACTAGGGTAGAACTTGGTGGTATCCCTAAAAATGACATTTTGTCAGCATGTAAAAACTGTTTAGGACACAGACCATGTTCCAAAATCAGTTCTCTTAAAAAGCCACACAATTGACTTTTGCCTGCCACCCTAAGGCCCAGCACACTGGACCCTGGACAGTACTAGTCAGTGTGCTTTTAAGGTAGCATTGTTGAAACAATGAAGCTAAAGCTATCAAAGTAAATAATACCTTTTACTGAATGTCTTCCTAGCTCACTGGGGCTAGGTGATAGATGGAGTTTTTAGCATAGCAAGGAGTTGTTCTCAAAGTTATTAATTCTGTTCCCCAACCACAAAATCCTAGTTTATCTTTAAATTTGATCCTGCTGTTTAATTACAGGTGTTTCTTAAAATCTTTTTCATAAAAGCCAGTTCTGTGCTTTACAATACTTTAAATGCAACACTTAGAAAGCTCTTGACCCTTTATTTAAATTTTATTTTTCCCATTCTTCCCATTTATAGAGACTGTGGGCCCTTTTGTTCTTTTAAGTAACCTTTGCCTATCATAAGAAGGAATGCAGTACATTTTATGGGATACTCAGGTCATCCAGGCTATTGTCCTTGTTGCTTTCTGCTCAACCATTTTTTTGTTAAGCTCTAGGTCAGCAGTGTTTTGAATGGTGTTAAGTTGCCAGAATTTAGACCTCCTCGTAAGTGGGGAGTTGATGCATTTGTTTTACTAATTTGAAGTATAATTGAGCAGTTTTCCTCTCTTTGGTAGTGTTTTTAGGATGCTCATTTAAAACTATTTCCATTTCTTTTCTTCTTTATACTTGCCTGTGTTTTCTAAATTTTCTATAAATATATATTTTTATAATCAGAAAAAATGCATGTTATTTAAAAAAGTGATTCCATTAATGTAGTCAAAATTATTTTGGTGAGAATTCTTAGTTCAATTGATTGGTTTAAAAAGCATCAAATTCATTTTTCCACTGCCTATGGACAGGAAGCCTTAACACTCTACATTAACAAAACTTGATGGTCGATTAAAAAAATAGTTGACTATTTATTTTTTTGTAATTAAAAAGGTTTAGAATTTGGAGAAACTGAAACTTTTTTATAACAAGAGTCGTTATAGCAGATGTTATAAATTGTGGCAAACTTTGGTACAATCTGGCAAATTGAACTAAGAGTTTAAAAAGATCTGGTTGACTGTGGTGGGACTTTCTGAACACATGTAGTAGGATTTTTTTTTCCCACTTTGCTCTTAATCATACAGTTTTTAAGAAATTTGAATTTTTCAAGTTGAATCTTTAAACCTACTCTGGTTTTCGTGCAAATCACATTGATGCCACATGCAGGAAAGGGTAATTAGGATATATGTTGCTGTTTTGGTATCTCATCTGCTGGCCTGCCTTTGAATAGCTTTTGTCCTAGTAAGTTTATGTCAAAGTTAAAAAGTATTTTTCCTTAAATCTCTTCTTGCAGATTTTAATATCAAGGTCCAGGATAAGAAATAAATAAGTAAGTAAGTAAGTAAGTAAACAAACAGATCCATCCATCCATCCATGCATCCATCCACTAGCTAATAATCTGCCAGGTTATCTATTTTTACATACTAAAAATGATACCTAATGAACAAAGCTTCTGTACAGCAAAGGACACCATCAGAAGAACAAAAAGGCAACCTATATTACAGGAGACTATATTAAAAAATAGTTTATCTGATAAGGGATTAATATCCAAATTATATAAAGAACTCATACACCTCAACACCAAAAAAACAAATAGCCTGATTAAAAAATGCACAGAGGACCTGAATAGACATCCCTCCAAAAAAGAAATACAGGTGGCACATGAAAAGATGCTCCACATCGCTAATCATCAGGTAAATGCAAATCAAACCCCAATGAGATACCACCTCACACCAATTAGAATAACCACCATCCAAAAGACAAGAAATAACAAGTGTTGGCAAGGATGTGGAGAAAAGGGAACCTTCCTACACTGTTGGTAGGAATGTAAATTGGTGCAGCCACTGTGGAAAGCAGTATGGAGGGTCCTCAAAAAACTAAAAATAGAAATACCATACAACCCAGTAATTCCACTTCTAGGAATTTACCTGAAGAAAACAAAATCTCAGATTCAAAAAGGATATATGCACCCTTATGTTTATCGCCGCATTATTTACAGTAGCCAAGTTATAGAAGCATCCTAAGTGTCCATCAATAGATGAATAGATAAAGAAGATGTACATATACACAGGGGAATATTATTCAGCTGTAAAAATAATGAAATCCTGCCATTTGCAACATTTATGGACTTAAAGAGTATTATGCTTAATGAAATAAGCCAGGTGGAGAAAGACAAATGCCATGTAATTTTACTTATTTGTGGAATATAAAGAGAAAACAAAACAAAATAGCAGTGGACTCAGACATTGAGAAGTGACTGGTGGTTACCATCAGGGAGAGGGTAGGGTAAGTGGGTGGAAGAGTGAGGGGAGTAAAGGGGCACAAAAATTCTCAATCATAGTTTAAATTGGTCATGGGGATAATAGTACAGCCTGGAGAATATAGTCAGTGATTCTGTAACATCTTTCTATGTTAACATCTAGTAACTGTACTAGTGGGAGTGAGGATTTAATATGAGTAACTGTTGAACCACTGTATTGTTTATTTGAAACCAATGTAAGATTGTTTATCAAATATACCTCAATTAAAAAAAGATAACCTGACAAATGTACCTATGTAATTAATTTATTTAAATAAATATTATGTACCTTCACAGATGTTTCTGTCTTTTATTACAAAAGTACATTAGTAATAGCTTTTTCCTCTCTGCAGGACAATCCTTCATACACAGACAAACACTTGGAATCTCCCCTCCTTTACTCCATTCAGTTGACTTAGCAGGATTTCCAGAGCAGCATTCATAAATTTTGAGGTATGAAAAAGCTTAATTCTTGATATTAATCCTAATTTAGCTCTATGGGTAAAAAGTGGAATTTTTTAATTATAGATTTCATATATCAAAGTATGGATTTACTGCTTGAAAACTCAGTGTATAAAGCATTCAACATTCTGGTTTTCTTAGCCAGGTCTCCCTGCTGACTTGTTGCTAAATTTTTAATTCATTGCTTCTCTGTGTATCTCTTCATTTCTACCTTAATCAAAGATTCATATTACCTAAGGGCTGGAGATTACCTAGACCAATCACCTCAATTTGCAGAGAAGGACATTAAGCATAAAAAGGTGAAGTTACTTATCTGTAGACATACAGCTAATTTAGTGGTACAACTAGTATCAGAACTCTACCTCCCAGCTCTGCCCTGGCAACAGTGGTGAGTATAGCTCAGCAGTTATACACCCTCAGCATTGGAGTCACTGTCTCGGTCAATACTCTTCTCTGGAAAATGGGGACTATAATACCACTTCCTTGATAGGGTGTTGTGTGTGAAGATGGAAGGAGACAGTGCATATTGCTATTATTATTCTTGCCTGTGACCCTTTCCAATCTCATGGGGATGAGTCCTTCACTCCTTGAAACTCTGCAGTCTTGGCTAACATGTCACAATGCTCTGCTGAGCCTCCCTGAAATTCTTTGCAACACTGGCTTCTCTTCCCCATCTTGCTGCATAGGCGTGAGCCATCCTCCAGGTTCTCATATACCAGCCGGTGTTTCCTCCAACCCCTTCATCTGTATTTATAGTATCGCCCATGTCCCTATCTTCAAGGCTGACTTACCTCTAACTTACCACTGGATCAGCATTTCCAGGGGCCCTTGAGTCGTCTCTGCATGATTTCTTACTCACTTCAAACACTATGTCCTTAAAACCAAAGTCATTGCTTTTCCTCTAGACTACTTCTTCCTCCCAACTTGCTCATTTCTGTTAGTGCTACTAAACACCTATGCTTTAAAAATCACTGTGTTCTCTTTATATCGCTCTAGCGTTCCACAGCCAGTTACAAACTGTGGCACACTCTATACCATTTGACAAATCAAATAGAGAAGATCGGGTGACTGCAGTGGGGCTTTCTGAACATATGTAGTAGAATTTTTCAATCAGCCATCAAGACCCACGAATTTATTCCCCATTCACGTCTTCTGCATCTTTTCCTTCCTTCCCATTCCTGCCCTGATCATGGTGTTTAGGCCCTTAACCACCGTGTTCAGGCTGACAATTGCAGAAGAGTAGCTGTTCCCTTTACCTGAAAGTAGCTCGATGCCTTTTTGCCCTCTCTCTCATCTCCACCCCCCTTTTCCCAAGAAATACAGCTTTTTGACTTTTTATAATGGAATGTCAACTTGTCACTTGTTCATGTAGCACATGAATTTTGATTTAAGTAAAGAAACAGAGTATCATTGCTTTGAGAGTTCCCAAGATACCTTAATCTTGAATTGCAACCTAGATCTGGCTAAATGTGACTGATAGTTAATATTTTACCCATTTGTTTGACAAACTTTAAAAAATTTAATTTTAATTGTGTTTATGTGATTCAAGGCTCAAAATATTAAAAAGTATATCATGTAAAGTCTCCCTCCCATCCTTTTCTCTTGCCTCCCAGTTCCCACCTCACCTCCAGTTGACAACCACTGTTCTAGGTTTCTTGATCATCATTCCAGGGTTTCTGCTTATTTTTTTCATATATATATATATATATATGCTTTATTCTTGTTTTTTAAAAAATTTAACAATGTGTAATAGTCATCTTGCCAAATAACTGTCCCCTATTGATGGACATTTTTCTAATCTTTTGCTATGACAAACAGTGCTACAGTGAAGAACCGTGTACATGTGCTATTTTGATCATGTGCCAGTATACCTGAAGGTTAAATTCCCAGAAATGAAATTACTTGGTCAGAGAATACATACTTCTGTAATCCTGAGAGCTATTGCCGAAATGCCCTCCATGAGCTTGATATTCCCGCTAGTAATGATTGAGAGTGGCTATTTTCCCACAAACTAACCAATACTACCAAATTTTGGGGTTTTCTTGTCGACTTGAAAGGGAAAAAAAACACATCGGTGTGGTTTTTAACTTGCATAGATATTTTTGTGACACAGGTTGGACATCCTTTCATATGATAAGGGGCACTTGTATTTCTTTTTTCTGTGAACTGTCTTTTGTCTTACTTTATCTTAGGTTTTTTATTTCCTGGCCAGTTTCTTAGAAGCTTGGCGTATGTTACAGAGATGACCCTTTTCTCTGATAGACCTTTCCACCATGTTGACATTTGTCTTTTGCTTTTGCTTGTGGTATTTTTTGCCACACAGAATTTTGTTTTATATTGGATGTAATCAAATGTATCAATCTTTTATTTTATGGCTTTTGTATTTTGAGTCATGGTTATAAAGTCTTTTCCGACACTGAGTTTATGGAGTCTTCCATGTCTTCTCTTAGAACTTTTATGGCTTTGTTTTCACACTTAAGTCCTTGATCCATATGGAATTTATCCTGGTGGGAGGTGGGAGGTGTAAATCCAGCCTACTTTTTTTCCAGAAGTCTAAAAATTGCCCCAATGCTATTTATTAAAATGCTCATCTTTTTACCACAGGTTCATCATTTATTAAATCCCCACAGATATTGGGATGTATTTCTGGATTTTCTGATATACTCCACTGGTTGTTCTCTTTATCAGCAGCATGACAGTTCTAATTGTTGAGGAAGTATAATATATGGAATATCTGTTGGTGCCAATTCCCTCCCTTTGTTCTTTTTTAGAATTTGGCTCCTGTTGTTTATTTTTCCATAGAATGTTAGCATTGACTTATATTGCTCTTAAAATAATCTCCTGCTATTTTTATTATGATCATGTTACATTATAAAGTAATTTAGGAAGAACTAACATCTTCCTGTGTTGAATCTTCATACTGAAGGAGTTTGGCTTTTCAGGCTTCTTTTATATCCTTTGGTTTTCTTCATAGGACTTTTATGCATTTCTTGTTATTTATTCCTAGCTATTTTATATTTTTGATGCTATTGTAAATGGGAGTCTTTTATTCCATTATATTTCTTGCCTAGTGTGGAATCTTTTTTTTTATATATATATGAAAGTCATTGATTTCTAAATGTTAATTTTATAACCTCCTTCCCCGCTGGGAATACTCTTCTTGTTTGTGGCAATTTTGCATTGGATTCACTTGTATCCTCTAGGCATACAATCATATTATCTGCAAACAATGGTTATTTTACCTCCAACTTGTCAGTAGTCCTTTCTTATTTCTCTCTCAAGTCTAATTGCATTGGTGAATGCCTGCAGAACAGTGTTAAGTAATAGAGGACATCCTTGCTCTGTTGCTGACTTTACTGGGATGCTTCTGTTTATAATATTAAGTTTTGGGTTGGAATAGATATATTTTATCACTGGCAAGTTTTGTTGAAAACGGGTTATAGACCAGACTCTGCCATTAAATAGAGATAAAAAAAGAAAATGAATATGACTCTACCACTTTGAAGAGTTCATAGAGAAAAAGCAGACATAAAAATCAGTGTTCAGGTGTCACAGTAAAGTTGTGTATAGTACACAGTGGAGACAAAAAAGGGTGAGATATAATCAGTTGGAGATTCATGTCAAGATAAAATTCCAAAGAACAGTGTATGAAAGCATATTAGCTTGATTTGCCATTGAAATGTTTTCATTGAATTAATTATGATATGTCCTTGGCTTTAGAGGGAACATATAGGGAAAGTCATGAACCTTTAGTTCAGTTAGTTAGTTCAGTAAAGTAAAGACACCAGTAAAGACACTGGTGAAGATATTTCTTGAATACTTCCAAAATACCAAACATTAAACTAAGGCTGAGCATTCACATAGACGTGGTCTCTACTCATACAGATACTATAATGTAGCAGGGAATATACATTAAAATAGGCAAATAAAATGCAATCCATCAATCACCATGAAATACATGTATAATAGAAATTAAGTCAGCCCATGGAAGCCAAGGAAAGCTTCCCAAGGGAGGTGCTGTTTGAGTTGAATCTGAAGGAGTTAACAGTTTCTTACATTAAGAAGGGTGGTTTTATTGTAGCACAGAAACAGTATGAAAGCTTGGTGTAATGAAGAGTATAGTGTGCCTGGGACTTGGCATATAGTTTAAAAATGGGAGGTAAGGTAGGTAGTAGATAAGCCTAAAGAAATTGTCAGAAGCTGGGTCCCAAAGGGTATTAAATCCATTCATAGAAATGTGGACTTTATCCAGTAGGCAGGAAGGAGGTATTAAAGAATTTTAAACAGCAGAATCTGAAAAGATAACATAGTTCAGGATGAATTGAAGGAAGAAAGATAAAAAGCAAGGAGACCAATTAGGAAGTTCATTGTGTTAGTCCAAATATTCTCTATGATGACATTTAATGTCCTCATATAAGCGTTTATATGACAAATTTCCTATAGAAGTTGGTGCCAGAAAAATGCTCGTTTCTACTGCAGAAATGATGTGAGCATTTTGTAAAGTATTTGTTTCTCTGTTTTGTTTCTGTTTTTGCCAGGGATTCCAAGACAAATGGGTTAAATGTAAAGTACAGATACCATCTCATCTCCATGTTAAATTTCTAATTTCTGTTTCAAAATGTGTTGCATGTATATTTATTTAACACTACTTTAGATCACTTTAAAAAGGATATATGATCATTTTGGAAAACATACACAAATATAAAACTATACATAAATTCCTGAAGTCATCTAGTCCCACCTCTCACCAAGTGCAATCACTCTAAATCAATGGCATTCTGCCCGCACTACAACAGCAACATAGAGTTTGTTACTTTGCAAGGAGGCAAAGTCTGTTGTTGAACACCTTAGCCCAGTATTTGTTTTTTGTTTTGTTTTGTTTTGTTTTGTTTTTACAAAAGACTACAGTAAGACATAATTTTACATCATGACCCAGTACACCCATATTTGTGATTCTGTGTATTAATTTATCTGAAACAAAAAAAATTATG